AACATTTTCACATTTCACTGCAGTCTTAAGGAATAAAATGATATTAAATTTTGTGAGTGAAAAGACATTATTGTTCTTATTCAAGTTGTAAACGGCCTTATTCTTTTTGTGAATCGCCTTATTTTAGTTGTAAATTTTTGTATTCCATGTAACATTTGCCTTTCTATGTAGTTCGTCCCGACAAAATGTCTAAAACGTAGAGTTTCATTCAAGCATCTTTGTCCCGTACAAAGTGTTGAAAATTTTAAATTGAAAGACTGAGGTCGTGCTATTACATTTATTTTTATTAAGAGTAAGGGTTTTTACTCTGCTAGGGTTCTCTCAAAGCAATTTTTTGAGAAGTTTGTAAACTCAGGAGTAACAATAAGCTATCCCAACTGTTATGTCCAGCTTGTAACTCTCTTCCTCTTCACTTCTCCACACCTAGCTAAGGTTTTGTTTTCTCCTTGATTATCGCTTAGCAGTTCTCTAATTTTGTGATATAATTTGACTTAGAGGGATGTAGAGGCTTGTGGAACATTGGAATTTGCCTTGGGTGACCTTTGTGACAGCTTTAGGAGTTTAGATAATGTGAATTCTTATCTGTTTCTCATATTGACTCCTTTGAAAGGGCCTTTAATGAAAGAGTAATCTTTATGATAAGTTTTAAAGGATATGGAATAGGAAAACTGGATATAAAACCGCCTAAGTTACTGATTGTAATTGGAGATTAGATTGGTATAACTATTGTTGTGAAAACATTGAATTTTTGGAACAGTAGGACTAGATAAAAACCCTCAAAATAAATTTTTGGAACTTATTTTGATATTTGTCTTAGACTATAGGTGTTGCCATGGTGATGTACAACCAGCCCTCACCTTGATGAGACACCTTTCTCGCTGTATTGATGACTATGACTTGTTGTCTGTTGATTGATTATTGTGATTCATATGATGTGACACCTATTATCTGTATGGATTATATCATAAGGAATTGAAAGACACGCAACGGAAATGACTTTAAAAATTCAATTCCTTGCCCGGATCTACCGATTGCGTTTAAGTCAAGTGGTAAGAGGTGTTACCTGCAGTATTCAAATCGATAGTGGCTCGGGGATTCTGACATTCGGGATGCCTATGCTCTTCTTTGATCGTGAGAAGTCGACGACTCAAATCGGCTTCCTCTACCGGTATCCACACGAACAGCGTTCCAATCACGAACGACGTGCTAGCGCCTCTTGTCCTTCTAGGGTTTTTCAGAATCCATCCTCACCGTCTCTCTATTGGCCGTTTCTTATCTGCAAACGTTTTGCACTCTCACACGTCCAAAAACCCTAGCTCCTAATATCAAATATATATAGGACGCTAAGGATATTGGATTTCGAAATTAATCCTAAATTAATTCCGAAATTAATACAATATCACATATTGCATAATCTGATAAGAAATTAATTAAATAAATACGGTTTTTATATTAAATCCGTCCTACAGATTTAATTCACTTATTCATTTAATTCAAAATAAAGATATGACGGAATTATGTTTGATTTATTCTAATAAATCAAATTTGAAATATATACCTTATCAAAAAAAAATGATACAGATTTAATTTATCCTTATAAATCAAATCTTATAAATATCTCTTATATTATACATATACACGCGAATTTATATATATATATATATACACATCCACCCTAGATTATTCATTGAATCTGGACATATCTTAGATTCAATGAATTTGGACATCATAACTCGTGTTGGGCTATTTTGTGTGCGACTCTGTAGGCCCATATGAAGTTGGCAGTGGGCCATTTACCATAATGACTCACAAGTCGTAAGCGGTCTCTAGCAAGACATCACGACTACCCAAATCATATGAGGATCAGTGAACGATGCAACCTTTCATACAACCATATCACGTCCCTTTTGTCATACGACATTTTGGTCATGGATGAGGCATGGAGAACGTCATTCTCCTATTCCTGACTGTTACTTTCTCGATCCATGAGTAGTCTGAGTATAGAAATGGAACTACCTTTCCATTATAGTATGGCCATACATTTCTCAGACTCACTCATCGAGGGGCCCAGTGATGTCTCTATACGAATGTGAGGGACAAATTCTATCTTGATCATTCACATTCTTCCATACAAAAAACCACTAAGCTTGAACATAGTCTTTATGATCACTCGGTCAAAAATGACTTTTGACTAGGTCAAAGCTGAGCGTTTCTCATGTAGGAATCCATGATGATCTTAGGTCAAAGGGCATAGTGACATGGTTTGTATATGAGAGAAGCTTATGACTTAACCCATGCAGCTCTCTCATAGCGGGTCAGTCCAATACCTTGTACTCTTACATGTGCCTATAACTTTGATTTATATCTCTATACATCTTCAAAGTCATACTGGTCTTATTTCATCTCTGCTCCCACATAGATGACCGACCAGGGACATTTAGGATAAAATCATGAGTTATCCAAGGATAGTCATCACAGTAAACATGCAAATAATATGATAACATAATTAAGAAATTCATAAATCAACAATGTTCATAACACAATGATTGGTCCATAGGGCACAATTTCCAACATATATGTTTATTGACTTCTTAATTATTAGTCCTACTTGGTACCTCTTAAGGGGGCTAATGGGTAATGCAGGTAGGAATTTATATTACTGGGACTTCTTGTTTCACTTTGTTACTTTTTACAAGTGAGAACAGCTCGTGGCGGGGAAGGAACTAGAGGCCAGAGGTCATGTGTTAAAGTGACCCTACTACCTCATAAATTCTCTATTTTATGTCTAGCCTTTGATTATTTACAACCTAAGACATGGACCATTGCTGAGTTCCTTTTAAACTTTTGTTGATAATTATCTATTATAACTATGTTAATTAGGTGCAGGGAAAGCTCTTTTTATAACCATGTTAGAAGTTCAATCATTTTCTAACATGGTTATGTGTTTGAGGTAAGTAGAATCTTTTAAAACCACGATATGATATGTTGTGGATTATGTGTGCTTATTTCTTTTATATCATGGTTATACTCAGAATGTATCAAGTATAGTGAGTAAGTTGTTGATGTGTTACATTCCACTTGTGAATCTTAACTCCCTGACTTATTGTGAATGTTAGCTCTACTTGTAAATAGTTTTATTCCAATTGTAAACGGCTTTATTCTTCTAATTGTAAATCTTCTTATCTTAATTGTAAATTCTTGTATTCTATTTATGAATCATAAATTTCAGACTTTATTGCGAATGCTTGCTACACTTCTAAGTGACTTTAATCAAATTGTAAATAGTCTTATCTTGGTTATAAATTCTAATACTTCATTTGCGAATTCATTTTTCTTGTTTCTCGATCTCTAAGGTTATTATTGTCTTTTCCTTTTAGAAATTAATTTCACTTTAACCTCAAAAGGATACAGTGAAATTTTAGATTTATTTGGGGCAACAGAAAATAAAGTTTCTAAAGGACTAATTGAAGTTCTCCCGTTTTATAAATAGAATCATGCGTACCCAAAATATTGTATCTTATATATACGATCGGAAATTTCAAAAAATAAAATATTAAGTTAATAGTTAATTGTATCATTATTTTTTTTAAATCTTGTGTCATTCAAACACAAGGAAGAAAATAATTGCGATGATGTCACATTAATATGTTGATGATGAATATTTTAAGCCAACCTTCAGAAAAAGAATAAATACAGACACAATTAAACACATACGCAGGCACATGCTCAGGTACACATGTTTGAAAATGATTTCTTAAAAAAAGACATAATTTTCAGTGTTGTTTTTAATATTATCATTATTTTACATTTTATTCTATAATTTATTATCCTGTAGATATTAAAAATATAAACAACTGTGATTATGATTTATACTAAAAATAAATATGTACAATCAGTATTTATAACATAGCGATGCGCCTTTTAAAACATTTACCATAAAAAGTACTAGCCGGTAAGAAAAGAATTTATCCGCTCCACCTATCCCTTCGATAATCAATGTGTTGGACCCAACTTTTATTTATATTTATATCTTTATAAAGCTAGATATTTTTAATTTGTGCAAAGCATAATTAAAATATTAATTTAAATTTTTTTAAAAAACCTATAGTGTAAAAGAGCATCCAACTCTCTAACGATATTTTCCGGTTGGTTTCAATACCCGAATTTCATGTATAGTGTACCCAGTACTTTAATATTATTTATTGGTACTTTTAGCGTCCTAAATCATAAATAAAACTAAATGCTATGCGTAACTAAAAAATAATATTCAGGAATGTTGGACGAATTATAAACAAGACTAGTATGCTGAATGTTATTGGAAATGTGAGATTTTATTTTACGATAAAACTCTACTTAATTTTATTTTTTATTATTGAAGAAAAAGTAAAAATAAAATTGCATGAAATTCAATAAAATATACAGAGAAAAATTAAAAAAAGAAAAAACAAAACATAGCTCTAAAAAATTTGCGCTGTGCCTAACTTTTATATATTATATTGATTGATATCGTTGATGGATGATTTTGTTAATTATAAATTTAAGAAGTAACCTTAGGAAAAAAAGTGCTGCCTATGGTTTATTCGGTTGATGGTGACCAATGAACAGGGAGCTTGAAGATGGATCAAAACCAGCAAAACTTTAAAAAATAGTCCAAATAGAAATTAATTAACCAAAAAGTCGATTTCAAGATTTATTAAATCTGGTTAAGCATCCCATAATGACCAATAAGGGCAGAGGCATATATTTTTCAGAATTAAAATAATTCAATATTTTATCTACTTTTCTATAACAACTGCGAAGGAATCATCATCATCATTAATTTAATGTATTCTGGAAGAAATAGATGAAAGAGAGAACTTCAAAAAGAAACAGAGGAGAGAGAATGTTGAGTTCTTTTTTTTTTTTGGCCTTTAAAAAAATTAATTATTAATAATCAGTAATCAATAATATCAATAAATAATAATAAGGTGAGGGAAGAGTGGGTGAAAGAAAAAGAAAAGAAAGGAAAAGAAAGGAAAATTAAAAAGGGAAAGCAGTGGCGCCGGGAAAGATGGGTAAGAAGGAAGTCTTGTTTGAGATGCGAGCTGACCTGACTCCGGTAGAAAGGGAACCTTCTTCGTACTTCTTCTCTTTCTCCATCTGATTCTCATTCTCCCCACTGATTAAAGTTTCTTGTTCCTTCCTTCATTCTTTTATCTGTTGTTTCCTGAAATTACTCTTGCTTCTTCTTCTTCTTCGTTTTGTTTCTGTTTCAGATTAAAGACTTCAACTTTTTTGTTTTCGATAAAAGATAAACTTATCTTCTCTTAAGGGTCTTGTTTCTTTTTATGATTATTTATGGGGTAGTGCCAGAACCGATTTCTGAATGCTTCCTTGATGAATCAGGGATCGGCTAATTAGTGGAGTCATTGGCATTCGAACTTACGTTTCTATTTTTTTTTTCTTTTCCTGGGTTTCTAGGAATTTCAGTTTTTGTTGTTATAGTGGAAATTGTTTCGTGGGTTTTCGTTATCATGTTAGGATTTTGGTGTAAATAGTTCTAGATTGGTGAGTCTTGGTCGCTCGTCGTCGATTCCTCCTTTGATATTATTTGAATCTTGGAGGATTTGCTCCTATTTTTAAGTTTTCAAAATTACCGAAAAGGAAAAAAAAAAAAACAAAAAAAAAGAAGAAGCATTAGGAATCTGATTTAGATAATTTTAGTCATCCCCAATTTTATCGTGGGTTTCTATCGTTACTTATCACATATTTCTTATTTTTAGACACTTAAAGCAATTAGTTTTCCCGTGCCAAAGGACAGATTTTTTTTTTTCCTTTTAGTTTTGTTAAAGAAGTCGTCCTATACTAGAGTTTCAAAGAGGAGAAGAAAGAGTTAGATTAAACAATTTTTTGTTTTGTTTTGAGGCACTAGTTGAATTCTCTGTTGGGGGATTACATGTTATGGGAATACCTGATAGTTCGCTACTAGATCTAATAGAAAAGGTGAGGTCTTGGGTTTCTTGGGGAGGAAGTGATTTACAAGTTTTGTCAGTCAAAAGTGATATGCTCAATAACAGCAGAGAAATGTGTTGTGAGTGTAATAGAAACCTCAATGAAATGGTAAACAAGTACAATTGCAAAAGCTGTGGCCGCTGGTTGTGTGAGAAATGTATGCAAGTTTCTGATATTCCTGATCTTCAATCTGATGATAACCCTGGGATCAGGGAAACTGTCAACTCCTGCAAGTTCTGTTCAGGTGATGATAGGAAGTATGAAGGTCAGGGGAAGTATGTTGAGAAAGTGCATCCTTCAGCCTCTCCTCAAGATAGTCCCAGACAAAGTCCTGAGCCGCCATCGCCGTGTTTTAGTGTCCAAATTGAAAGAATCAGTTCTCCTCTGAATTGTAATTTGAGTCAGGGAAATCATTTTGGACGCAATTTTCAAGACCAAGACTATAGGTATTATCTCCAGAGTAGTATGGATTCATCTGGTGTTCTTGCATCTTCAGTGTCTACTCATCAATCTGCTGGCAGGTAACCACTTTTTGGTCTTAATTAGAGGATAATAGCTGTATGCTTTTATTTATGTTTTTTGGCTTTTCATTTAGAAGTTTTGGAGAAATTGCTTTGACATGATGTGCTTTAATTTGTGAAAGTGATCTGCAAATCTGAATGATGATTATTGTTACTGCAAACAAACGTTAGTGATTCAAAAAGATGCGATGCTTACTTAAAGCATGTGTATGAATGTAGGAGCGATGAAGATCGGACTGAGGATTTTGGGAAGCACAATTTCAGCTCTGCAAGTACATATTGCCATAATGATTCAAATATAGATACTAGTAGTGTTAGTGCTAAAAATGAGACTTACAGCAATAAGTCTCCTTCTGAGAGCCCTTCTAGGATTGATTTTACTTCCTGTGGGGTTGGGCTTCCTGTACAGCAGGGACAAGAGAGGATCCCCGTCTCTCAGTATGATGGTCCCTTTGATAAACAAACTACGGCTGTTTTAGGAAAGCCTGAACAAGGGACTGAGGATGCATATAATACTGGTTATTTTTCTGATGACTTGTCAATTTTTCGGAACCAGTCTGAGAGTTCACAGAGGCCATTGGATTTTGAAAATAGTGGTCTTATCTGGTTCCCCCCTCCGCCTGATGATGAGAATGATGATGCAGAAGGTACTTTCTTTCCATATGATGATGAGGATGATGATGTTGGTGACTCAGGAGCCTTGTTCTCATCCAACAGCAGCCTATCTAATGTTTTTTCTGCAAAAGAGAAACAAAATGAGGGGAACAAGGAACCACTAAAAGCCGTCATACAGGGTCATTTTAGAGCTCTTGTTTTACAGCTTTTACAGGGAGAGGGTATTAAAGGTGGTAAGGAAGATGGTTCTGAAGACTGGCTTGACATAGTTGCAACATTAGCTTGGCAAGCTGCTAACTATGTTAGACCAGATACTAGCAAAGGAGGTAGTATGGATCCTGTTGACTATGTAAAGGTGAAATGTATAGCAACTGGAAGTCCAACTGAGAGGTATTATGTAATTCTAACTTTGCCAGCAAAATATTTTCCTATGCAATTCTTTGTGATTAACTATCAAATTGTGGGATTTTATGTTCGCAGCACCCTTATCAAAGGTGTAGTTTGCACAAAAAATATAAAGCATAAGCGCATGACCTCACAGTATACGAAGCCTAGATTGCTTCTGTTAGGCGGAGCACTGGAATTTCAGAAAGTTCCAAACCAACTGGCTTCTTTTGATACATTGTTGCAGCAGGTGCCTTCTTCAGTTCAGCAATGGAGTTCGTCTTACATTTAATTCTCATGGAGATAATTTGTTTGTTTATATATTTTTTCTGGCTTTTGTAAATCTGGCAGGAAAATGATCATTTGAAGATAATTATTTCAAAAATTGAGGCTCTCCGTCCTAATGTTTTGCTGGTGGAAAAAAGTGTGGCTCCGTGTGCCTTGGAACACCTGCTGACAAAGGAAATTTCATTGGTGTTGAATGTGAAAAGGCCATTGCTGGATCGCATAGCCCGCTGCACTGGCGCACTTATCACTCCGTCAGTGGATAGTTTATCTAAAGCAAGATTGGGGCACTGTGAGCTGTTCCGGTTAGAAAGAATGGTAGAAGATCATGAGACTAGCAACCAGTCAAACAAGAAGTCATCAAAGACTTTAATGTTTTTTGAAGGTTGTCCTAGGCGTTTGGGTTGCACGGTAATTTCTTTCTTCTTGTTTTGCATTCTACTTTTTTGTATTCATTAACAAGGATTATTTACATTGCTTTCTCTTACATTTTTCTCTTCAAAGTTCCTTTAAGCTACCCTTTATATAAGGTGTAATCGTTCAGGAAGATGTGTGGAAGTATCAGTATCTGATTTTGGTTTTATTTTAGGTCTTACTGAAAGGTGCATGCCGTGAAGATCTAAAGAAAATTAAGCATGTTGTTCAATATGCAGTCTTTGCAGCCTATCATTTATCCCTTGAGACATCCTTCCTTGCTGATGAGGGTGCAACCCTGCCTAAAATAAGACTGAAACACTCAATGGCTGAGTCAGATAGGTCAATGACTGACCCCAACATCTCTATAATGTCTGACACCCTCACTCCAACAATGAGCCCGCCAGAGGCTGATGCTGTGGCTAAAGTTGATGAACTAGACAGTCTTGAATTAAAGTTTGAGGGGTTGGGATCAGCATCAGAGTATCTTGATGATCTCAGTTTTCCTTCTGATGCACGGACCAGAGATTTTGGAATTGAAAACATACATTTTGATGCATTCCAGAATGCTTCAATATCTAATTTGACTGGAGAATCTGTTAATTCTTATTCATGCAATGAATCAGATGTGGACTATATGCTTGCTTATGGCATGAGAAACCATTCGCAATCAGACTTGCAAGAATCCATGGTTCAAGAGGAGAGCCAGCATGGTGAAATTTCTAAATCAACAAAAGATAATATTGAAGAGGATGAACTTTCTGGTGAATACTTTTCTGCCACTGATAGTCATCAAAGCATCTTGGTGTACTTTTCTAGCCGCTGTGTATCAAAGGGAACAATCTGCGAACACTCAAGGTTGCTGCGGATAAAGTTCTATGGCTCTTTTGATAAGCCTCTTGGGAGATATCTTCGTGATGACCTATTTGATGAGGTAACTCATGTTTGTTTTGTTGTGCTATACTGTTATTGGCACCTCTCAATTCTAAAGTGACAATTATTGGTTCATGTTTTCCTTCCTCAGACATCTTGTTGTCGGTCTTGTAAGGAGCCTGTGGAGGCCCATGTCCTATGCTACACACACCAGCAAGGAAATCTTACAATCAATGTTAGGCGCCTTCTCTCTGTGAAGTTACCTGGGGAAAGAGATGGCAAGATTTGGATGTGGCACCGTTGCCTGAAGTGTCCTCATGAGGATGGAGTTCCCCCTGCAACCCGAAGAGTGGTTATGTCGGATGCTGCCTGGGGATTGTCTTTTGGAAAGTTCTTGGAACTAAGCTTTTCAAACCATGCAACTGCCAATCGAGTTGCACCCTGTGGCCATTCTTTGCAGAGGGACTGTCTTCGATATTATGGGTAAAGCACTGAGATTACGGATTCATTATTGTTTATTATTGACACTTGAAAGTTAATAAATGAACTGATGTAACAGGTTTGGAAGCATGGTTGCTTTCTTCCGGTATTCGCCTATTGATATTCTCTCCGTCCATTTGCCTCCATTAGTGATGGAATTTGATCACATTCAGGAGGAGTGGATTAGAAAGGAGTCTAGAGAGGTTACTTTTAGATAACAATTTTCTTGTTTGGTTTCAATTTGTCAATGTCGCACGAATAATGTGTATGTTGGATGTTTTGATTTTTTTTCTGCTTCTTGGCATCAAAATTTAATTTAATTCTTTTTCTTCTACAGCTTTTGAGTAATGTTGAAACCTTGTACCGGGAGATATCGGATGTGCTTGAAAGCTTGGAGAAAAAGAGTCCATTTCCTGCAGATTCGTGTGACATTCATAACCATATAACTGGGCTAAAAGATATGCTTAGAGAAGAAAGAAATGATTATCAAGTGAGTTGAACTAAATAACTGGTCCATTATACATTGTATGGTGCAAGTTGCATATGTGCCTATTGACAATTATGTTTATCATTAGGTCTTTTGTATTTGTGTACAGAGTTTGCTACAATCAGCCAAATCAGAGACCTCACAACCAGGGAAGATAGATTTAGATGTTCTTGAACTAAATCGCTTAAAACGTTCTCTTCTAATTGATTCACACGTATGGGATCACCGGCTTTATTCCTTGGATTCTCTTATTAAAAGGAGTGCTACTTCCAGTATTAAGCACGGAAACAAGTCTTGTGAAGACGTTAAAGAAGTAAGAGGTGTTTCAATTTGCATTTATGACAGTGGGCTTCGGCCAAATAACCTTCATCCTTTGAAATTGCAGGAACCTTTGGAAAGTCATATGGTCAAACAGCAGGATGAGGCGCACAAACCTTGTGCTCCTGAACCATCTACAATGGGTCATCCTGATGGAGAGCAAGTTAATTCAGATGAATCCAATCTGTCTGAGAGAATAGATTCTGCTTGGACTGGAACAGATCAACCACCTTCAAGCGTTGAACCTCTTCATACATGTCAAACAGATGGTCCCCAGGCTGAATCTATAAAACCATCTAGTCAAAATGATAATCCTTCTTTCAGAAGGCTGCCATCACCAATGAGAGTTCATTCTTTTGATTCAGCTATAAGAGTTCAGGAACAAATTAGGAAAAGCTTGCCACTCTCATTACAATTATCAACACTCAGATCTTTTCATGCCTCGGGAGACTACAGGAGTATGGTTAGGGATCCCGTCTCCAATGTTTTGGAGGCCCGGTTCCAAATGTTGCCATGGGAGGCACAGAAGCTAAATCTGATATTGAGCACCATACCGACATTCATCACCTCTGGGTCTTGCATATCTGAAGGTGTTCGATTACTGCATTCCCAAACTCAGCGGGGTGATAGGGTTATTGCTGTTTATGATAATGACTATTCTAGCATAATATCCTATGCCCTCAGTTCTAAGGAATATGATGACTGGGTTACTGATAAGCTGGATCTGCATGATGGGAGTTGGATTAACCGTGAGAGAAGCAGAGAAGATTTGGCTACTTCCACCTTTTCAGCCTGGGGTTCACTGGACTTAGATTATATCCATTATGGTAACTATGGGCCTGAAGATGCTCCGTCTTCTATTGGTACTCTCCTCTCAGATTCCAAAAAGTCTTTACATTTGCGAATTTCTTTTGGCGATGACTCGTTGGGTGCTGGAGGGAAAGTGAATTTCTCTGTCACTTGTTATTTTGCAAAGCAGTTTGACTTGCTTAGAAAGAAGTGTTGCCCTAATGAAGTTGATCTTATACGGTCTCTAAGCCGGTGCAGGAGGTGGAGGGCACAAGGAGGCAAAAGTAATGTATATTTTGCCAAATCGTTGGATGAAAGATTTATTATTAAGCAAGTCACAAAGACAGAATTAGATTCTTTTGAAGAATTTGCACCTCAGTATTTCAAGTATCTAACAGAATCTCTCAACTCAGGAAGCCCGACTTGCCTTGCCAAAATTCTTGGTATTTATCAGGTGAGGCTTCATTCTATGGCTTGGTGATCTCGACTTTAAGCAGCTTTTAGGAATTGTAGAATTATGGTGTAAAATCTCTATTGTTTTTCATTTTTGGCAACAGGTCACTGTCAAATACCCGAAAGGCGGGAAGGAAACAAAAATAGATGTGATGGTAATGGAGAATCTCTTTTATAAGAGAAATATAGCAAGGGTATATGATCTTAAAGGCTCAGAGAGATCTAGGTACAACCCAGATACAACGGGGACAAACAAAGTCATGTTAGACATGAACTTGTTAGAAGCCTTAAGAACGAAGCCCATATTCCTTGGGAGCAAGGCCAAGAGGAGCCTTGAGAGAGCCATTTGGAATGACACATCCTTTCTGGCAGTGAGTAACGGTTCATTCTGGATCTTTAATTAAATTTATATGCTTCGAGGTTTTCACTTCCGTTGGCGTTTTTATTAAAGCCTTTAGAATTTGAATGTTCTGAATGTCTGATACGGCAAGGGTCTTGCAGCTGTAAGGGCTTTTATTGGGTTTTGAGAAGTTTATGCTTTAGCTTCGAACTTCCCTCTTGGTCACTATCATCAGTAACATTACCACTAGTTTTATTTAATGAACTCTTGAGAATAATTACAACCATGAGTCCTGACACTAGATTTTGGGCAGAGAATTTTTACTCTGTTCTGTTCACAATTTACACTTTGAATTTAGAAGATTTGTGCAGGAAAACTTGTTAGAGATCGTAAACTCTTTTACTAGCCTGATTTTAACAATCTAAACTTCTGGGTAAAAATGGCCTTCCACAGCATTTCTGGCGGTTTTTACACGGAGTTGAAGAATGAGTCGTATTGCTCATTTGTTGCAGTTTTTCTATTACATGTAGATGTTACTCAAATCCTCAAATTCTTTTTGCAGTCTGTGGATGTCATGGATTACTCATTGTTGGTTGGGGTTGATGATGAACGAAAAGAGCTGGTTCTGGGCATAATTGACTTCATGAGACAGTATACATGGGACAAACATCTGGAGACGTGGGTGAAGGCAGCCGGGATACTAGGTGGTCCAAAGAATGCTGCTCCCACCATTGTTTCTCCTAAGCAGTACAAGAAAAGGTTCAGGAAGGCGATGACTACCTACTTCCTCACTCTACCAGATCAATGGTCTTCATGACATGCCTGAAAATGTATTATGATGATGATGATAATGATCTCATTTTTCCTGACACAATGCATTCATTGGTTAATAAGGGTAAGTTGGCGGCGTATTATTAATTGTTCATACATCCCTCGGCAGTGTATTCTAACCTTGAAACTTATTCTTTAACTAGAGCTTAATGAAATTGTGAAGATTCCTTCTATACTGTGTGTATCACAAGCTTTGAGTTTCATTCCTTGACAACTTGGAGCGTGTTTGGAGCGCTGCTTGAGCCTCTCAAACGTGCCTTGAAAACTGTACATGGTGCTTAGTGTGTGATTTGTAGGTAAAATGATGTTTGGATCCAAGATGGAAGTAAATGAGCTTATGGGAAAAAGCCTCGATGAAAGAAAAGCTAAAAATTTGAGCTTCTTCTATCACAAACGGGAGAGAGAAAGCAAGAAAGCAATAAAGATGAAAAGAAAGATAGAGGGATTTAAGTGGGTCTTTTCTTGACCCGATAATTTGATGTGTTTTTTTTTTAAAGAGAAAAATTAACTAATAAGACTTAATTATTTTAATTTATTATTTTTCTAAATTTCATGAAATTATATACATATGATACAGTACCTTCACTTCTTAATATAAGACCCTAATAGGTTAATTTGAACAGATTAAGAAAACTAAATAAATTATATAATCTTTCTAAAATGTTTATATGTATCATTAGATTATATTTTAGCTTAAGAGTTATTTTAAAATTTATGCTATTTTAAGTTATTTTACATTTAAACTTACTTTTTTATTATCTATCTAAATAAGTTTTAATTTTTCAAACTGATTTTTATAAAAGTCAATTCAAACATAAATTACATTATATTAACTGACTTTTATCGTAACTTATGCTTGCACAAGTCAGATGGAATGAAAGTTACTTTTGCCACTGTCAATTCAAACACATCCTTAGCCCTCGGATATCCTCTTTTGGTGAGACAATATATGGCTAAACCACATTTTTTTTCAGGGGGTTGCGAAGACGTTGGACAATGAATTGTATTGTTCATGATCTATGAATAACAGGATCCATATATTGAAATCCAACTCAGGTTATTGAGATATTAAGGATATAGGCAATACATTTCATTGATTAGTTTAATAACCAGTCTAATTTTCAGTATGTTAATATGATTATTGAGATATTAAGGACACAAGCAATGCATGTGATTTTAATGATATTTTATAATGCTTGTGATTGTAATGATTTTAACAGGATAATAATCACTTTTATGTGGTTGTTAGAATGCAGATGTATTGATATCATCGCAAGGTTGATCCTTAGCTTTAACGTGTGTTGACCTCAACATTCTCTCTCCTATTTACTTTTTCAGGTTAATATATTCCCATCATCTTAGGTTTTGAGAAACAAGTTTTATATCTGGAAAAACCCTCTAAAAAGACTGTTAAATTTTAAAATTTTAAATTAATATTGTTTACTACTCTTGTAAAAAAAAAGAGATTATATTCGAAAAGTAAATGTTAACATATTTTTATAGTAATTTTTGATTTAAAATTTTAAAATTTAACATTCATTTTTTGAGGGTTTTTTTTTTTTACATTTTATCCGTTATTATTATTATTATTATATATTAATTTATTGCTTGAGTTTCTAATCTACAAGCAGTGGGAATGCAAGAAAAAGTAAAAGTCTTCATAATCCAAGGGTGACTGAAAAAAAAGTATTTATTATTTCATAATTCCTGCATAACTGGAATTAATTAGAGCTTTACAAAGTTGAAGTCAAAATACATCAAGGTCAATAAAACGTGGTTAAATTAAATGAATAGGATCCGATTTCTTTTAAACAAAGTTGGGGATTTAAAACTCTTAATTACCTTGAAAGAATTATTGTTCATATATAATCTAATAATACCATAAGTCAGATAATCATATAAATAAATAAAAAATATTGTCAAGTTAAGTGGTAAAAGCGGCTAGAATGTGAACAGAGATTTATACTACGACAGTTCATTTTATAAAATGAAATCAACATCATCTTCGATAAATTTATGATTCATAAATGATAATTTGGCAAAAACATATATCTTTCCTGGCTTTAAATATAAAATTTAGATAAAATAATTTATATTAATAAAAAAATTAATTAAGTTAGTTATTCATAAAAAAATATGTGTTAGTTTCTCTAAAATGCCCATTTAATCATTTTTATTAAAAATGCTCTTATTGATGGAATCCCTCCTTTAGTATTTGATAATATGAGAAAAAAAATTATAAATTTAGTAATGGTAGATTGTGATCTTATATTTATTTGTATTCAGCACTTTGATGTTTTTTTGTGTGTGATTTTGATATCTTAATCTTATTAGATGCACCGTAAGTTATAAATAAGACTAGAACATTGGCCATAATTTTAAAAAATAATATTACAAAGTGTTGGATGCACTAGGAAAATAAAATCTAAGTACTGGATGCGTTATAAATAAGATTGGAGTACTGAATGTTATTAGAAAATAATATCAGGATACTAGATGCTATTTTACCCTAGATAAAACCAAAACAAACCTTTCAATCAGATCTTATATTTAAGATTGGATAAAGTAATTGCGTAGTAGTACTACTTGTTTTGAATTCATGCAATGTATGAAAAATTGTGTTTTAATTAAGGGAAAGAAGATGAGTTGCTTACGGAAGCTTGAGGTTATCAAGGAAAGCAAAATCCACTTGCGTTGTGTGCACATGGTGGGTGAGTGTGATATGGAAAGTGGTCAGGAATTTGCTTTGGAGATTACATGTGCACATGCCATTACACGAGCCTTCGATATTGACTTGCACATGATCTTCCCTTGTACTTTCAATTTTAAAACTACATTTTAATACGACTTTTCCTTTTCCTTTCCTTTTCTTTTTTCTTTATTAGAGGAACCAAAATCAAAGCTATTTTCTTACTCGTAGACTTTGCGTTTGAGTCACAAACCCAAATTGGCAACGTGGGTTATTTGGGAGTAGTCAAAATAAACAGTATTGGTGGTTGTAAACCAAACAGACCGTAATTTGTTCAATACATTTAGTAATTAAAAATGAGTCAGTGCTATATGTCATTATCAATCGCTGTGTGGAAAAAAAATATTTATAACTTCTACCAAGTTTGAAAAATGGACGAAAGAACTTTTTGCTCCTTGAAGCTTGAGAATCAAAACTTCAACTTCAAGTTGGCAAAAAAAAAAAAAAACTTCAAAAATACACTATGCAGTCCAGATGCTGCTTTTCATTATTGTAGCATGATTCTCCATTTGTTTATCTAAAAAGCTGTTAGTTAGGTGGCACTTTAAAAATAAATATGAGAGAACATAATTGATGGTCTTAAAAGATGGATGTTAAAAAAGCTAATTATATTCTCATTAGTGTTAAATAATAAGAAACTCATTCTCAAGTAAGGTCTTAAGATTAGTTAGTAATTTTTTTTTTTAGAAGGTAAACATTTCTTCAGAAACTCATACGGAGTGTAATTAATTTCATGTTAGAAATCACCAAAGCTATGTGAAACCAAATATACGTAATGATTTCTGTCTCTGTTTTGTTTTTTGAATGACAACTGAAATCCATTCATTAAAGAGAGACTTACAGAAGTACAAAGATCAACAGCTAACCTATCCTCCCCCATCATCTTCTGCCTCTCTCACTGAATTGGTTTCACAGAGCTTATAAATTAACTCCAAAATATACTCATTATATTACATATAGTGAGTAATGCCATATATATACACATGATACCTAGGCTTCCAATTACTTACATCTGTAAGTTTTGTATATCTCATCAAGAGTACAAACTGGTCCAAACGGAAACTTTTGGTACACATCCATAAAGTATGAGAAGAACAGGCACAAATAGCATTACTCAGTCTTTATTTTAACTAAGCATCAGAAAATCTCCTTTCAGGTTGCGTATGAACTGAGAAGTCCCACTATGAAGCCACCACCATTTCTCTTCCTCCTTGATGAGTGATTGGCATAAAACTGACCCTTTTCTGCAATTTCTGGAATGTCCAAATACGAAAAAAACAGTTTAGTGGTTGCAGATTCTCCCAAATACTTGACCTTAAGATTTAGTAGTAGAAGCTTATATAAAGTACAAATAGTTCAATGACAAGTGCTTCTTTGACGCGCATAGCCAACAAATTGAAAAGGACTCAGCATCTAACCTATAAGCATGGCCTATCTACAAAGCTAGAATTCACACTATGAATGCGAAGAAAATCTATATGGTGCCAATGTATATATATATATATATTTCTTATATTACATAATGGGTTTATAAATAAATAAATTAATCGTGAGAAAAATCAAGAGATGTATAGAACGAAGCTTACTAGCAGAGTGCTAGTAGGGTGTTCTATTGAATTAATCTACCTGTCACAGACAAAATCTACCTAATACTCCTTATATGTCAATCATGTTCCTCTGCTTTTTGAATTGTCAACAAAAGTATTGACTTAATGGATCACCTTTTGATAGGGAATTTAGTTTCACTCAAATTTTCAATATAAGTTGGCCATTAATCTACAAGTAGAGATGAAATCTCTTTCTGTCTCTCGCAGGTCACTGACAATCCACCTTATAATTCTATGATTGTTCAGACAATAATTAACTTTTTTAACTGAAGACAGAAAATACAGAAATGATATATATATTTATATTTATGATGAATAAATATAGTTTTAAATGTCTTGGAGGAGAAAAACTTTACCAATGAGTATGGCAAACTCTATTATTATGTTAATCAATATTCTAAAACAGACATATACGTCAGAAAATGTGCTTGATAAGGAGGAATCTCATCTGTTTTCCCTATTTTCTCAAATGAAAATGATTGCAACGGTCTTTTGGATTCTAGTACTTTACAAAATAGAAAATAAAAATGCCATCTCTATGATTGCATCCACTGGTCTCATACTTTTGGAACAAATCACTTAGGTTAAAAAATATGAAGCGTATTTCATCAAATCTAAAACTTCTTGTCTGCCAAAAGCCAAGTCATAAAACTAAATGATCAAGAAGCATATCTCATCAATCATGAAGCACGAAATCCCTGCCTAACAGATTTTCAAAGAATCTAAAACTTATTGTGAGCTAAAAGCAAAATAGGACCGTTAAGGCATGAAAGAGTTATCTTCATTAGAGTCCTGGAAAACTTACTTCACGTGGCTTGTTACTCTCTCTAACTCTGCTTCTACCAACTTTCAAATGCACGTTCTGCTCTATCAGCTCCCCACTTTCCGCACTTTCATTCTCACTGTCTCTACCGCTGCTGCTGCTGCTGGTGTTCGTGGTGGAGGTGGTGGTGGCGGCTGAGGCTGAGGCGGCAGCCACGTACAGACCCATAATCTTCTGTGCTGCTTCAGCCTCATCTTTGCTTTCTCTAATCAACTTCTCCACCTCTGCCTTTGGAAGTTTCAACTTGAGCTTCACCTTACCATTCTCAGACCCCTCTTTGCCAATAGGATCACTATTCTGCTTCATGATGGAAAGGTCAGAAGCAGACCTCCTAGCCAGCATTAAGTTCTCAAGGCGATCTCTGGCACTCATGTTGATCCCAGAACGGACTCTCCTCGGAGGAGCTGTTCCTTTAGGAGGCTCCACAAGAAAATATAGCCTCTTCGGCTCTAAATCCTTGTGTGCTTCCAAAGGCTTTGCTCTAACACCATAATGCTTCACTGCCTCGGAATCAAGCAAAACAAGACCTGGATGATTCTTCAACACATCCCCAGCTTTCACTGGGGTCTTCAGCTTCATTGTCTCTCCATCAATTTTCATCACCTTTGTGGTTTTGTTCCCTCCTAAACTGTTACCCATTTGGTGTATTCCTTGGGTCTGTGAGATACAACAACAGACGACAGGTATAATACAGAACAATGAGTCCTCGGAGGATGATAAATACGAACAAAGACAAATCTAATTACTTGGGTCTGTGAGATACAACAGAGGACAGACACAGTACAGAAAAAAGGGGTCCTTGGAGGCCGATAAAAACACGAACAAAGCTAATCCTTACAAACGAAACAAATTAAAAGCGCTTATTATAAAAACTAGGATGAGAGAGATGGTGGGTGGTGGGACAAGGGCATGGTTTTATGGGTAGTTGTTGATATGAGGAGGGGCCATTGGTCAATAAAGAAGGCATTTTTTTGAATACCGACAGTTGTTTGACGAAAATCCTGAACGAGAGAAACCACTAGGGCACATAATATAGTAATGAAAAAAGCCAAAAGAAGCACATGCGTTACTTTGAATTGAAAAGCCGTTGCTTCTGTTCATTTCTCTCGCGGCTTCTTCATCTCTCAACTACCGTTGTTTCGCCTTCAACGAGAGCGTCCAGTCGCATCATTTCAATTTCCAAGGGTCTCAATCTCATATTTTCAAGAACAAAATCTTCGAATCATGACATAATTAATGAAGATAATTAGGCTTGTGCTCTGAATTCGCAACTTCGCAAGAATAACGAATCGGTGAGAGACGCTAATCACGGCGACGATTTACAAGGATTTTTGGACTTCAGAGCTCGGGCAAAGTTTTGTTGTTCTTACTTCTTAAGGGAGAAAATTTAAGTAGAATTTTTTTAAAAAAACTTAAAATATTTTTCATCAAATGTTTAATAAAAAATTATCGCAATTAATTTTTCTAACAAAATTGACAAAACAGCTTTTTTTGTAAATTTCATACAAAATTTTCTCTTGATCTCTTATGTCTTTTTAGTTAATTTAGTCATAATTTAGTTAGTTTCATTAATATATTAAGTATAATTTTTTTAAAATGATAATAATTGGTGAAAAATTATTAATTAAAACTAATATAGTAACAGTGTTAACGTTACAGGATTAAGAAAATCAAATTAAACTTTATATATAAAATTAGAAAATCAAATATATATAATTTAAAAATCAAATCAAACTTTATATATATTTTGACACCGTATGACATAACCATCTGACCTTGTTCTGTGGGTGTGAACGGCAAATCAAACAACAAATTTCGCCACGAGGTTTTTATTTTGGACATAACCGAAGAAGATTTCAATAAAAGTCGATTTTTTTTATTTTTAATTATTTTATACATCCATATCATCTAGAAATAAAAACCCGACGAAAATAAATGTGAAAAGGACTAACTACTTTTTAAAAGTAAAATTATTTAAGCTATTAGATTTTAATTATATGAAATAGGAAATTCTTAAATATCTGTTTTTAGTTTCTATGTAACTTTTTATTGATTTGTTCACGCAATAGTGTATATTGAATATCAGGGTTAGTTATAAACTTTGATATTTATTTTAGCAAAAAGTAAATTTTATTTTATTTAATTCAAATTATTTTGCTAAAAAAGAATTGTGATTTTAAGAAATTCTCGTACCAAACGTATTTACAAGCATTGAGATAAAATGTTAGTATCTATGTTAGAAAAACTGCCCTCTTTTTATATTTAAAACTATATTAGTCAGTAATATTAATAAGTAATATTAGTATCTGTATCAAAAAATAAATGAGAAAATGACCAATACACGTTGAATTTCAAAATAATAAATAGGTAATCTCAACAGATTTTAACATGTCAAAGCTATTATAAGAATAATTAGCAACTTAGCATTCCTGTTTATTATTTTAAAATTCAACAAGTGTATTTTTTTGGGTCATCTTTTCCAATAGATAAATGATGAAGAAAACTTTAAATATCTTACACATATAAATAATTGAGAAAGATTGATTTCGTTAATAAGAATTTGGTTCTGACGTAATAATTATGCCAAAAATAAAAAGCTAGTTTATTTCAAAAGATTAAAAAATATGTTGAGTTGAGTTCAAATCTCGCATTCATTTTGAGGACTGTTTTAATTAGTAATTTTAAATACATGTGTTTCTTCAATTATCAATGTTATCGTAGTTTATGAATGTCGGCAAAATAATTTACTTAATTTTTATTTTGAAAATTCTCATCAATATAGTATATATCGCATTCAATTTTTATTTTGATATAAGATCCGATTAACTAATTTGAAAATTAATTTACCTAACTTATAAGCTATTATATAATCTAGTGATATACATAAATATTTTAACAGAACATGTAACATACTAGTATGTTACAATTAAATAATTTATTTATCTTTTTAAATATCTTTAAATTAATTAACTTGTCTTATATTAACTATCATAAGTAATATCCATTCAAAAAAAAAACTATCATAAGTAATATATATACTTTTCTAATTCTAAATATAAGATCTATTTTATAATATAATTTATACTACTAAATAGTTTTATGTACACACATATACATATAAATGTATATTATATCTGGTTTGAAAAGCATGTGCCAAGGTAAAAATTGGAGCAGCAGCAAACAGAAGGTTGGGTCTAAAATGATAGTCGGCACATCAACTTGGAAACATTTTCAAAAATGACGTTAGACCCAATGCCCTGCATTTAGTTTAGTTTACTATTATGCCCTCCTACTTCTCTTCTTGCTTTTTTTTTTTTTTTTTCCTTTTTCAAATCAAAACACAGTCATCCATTGTTCCTGATTCACAGGAGAAAAGTTAGGTTACTCTCTCATTACGAATATAAGGCTCGAATAAGTACAATTGGGTACTCAAAGTTGACATCCCTAAGAATTTAAACTTTAGCTTCACATCAAGAGAAACTAGTCTCTTCTGTTAAAGTCAACTTTTATTAGTACTATTTATATGATTTTCATCAAGAGGTAGTTATAAAGCAAATAATTGAAGATGATATTATAAACAATTAACAAGTATTTTTTTTTATAAATAACTAATTTAACTAATTTTTTTTAATTTTTAACATATATAAATTAGTTATTTGGCATTTGTATTTAGAAGCAGAGTAAGTAATACTTTAGCTCCTAATTCTTTTAAAGTTCAAACTACTCTATCAGTTCAAAATGTTTTTTAATTTAAATTATGTCTTGTAAAAATTTTTATGAACTTTAAAAAATTGCTAATTGTTTGGATATTATAGAGAATCCTGAGAATTTTTGGCCAGCGAGTATATCCTGTGATTAAAAACTATATAATTACTCTCATAAAAAAAAACTATATAATTACCAAATTGTTTATAACTAATCAATCATGAATATTTTTTTAATCTAGCTTTATTTTTAACTTGGAGGGCACATAATCACATGGGATTGCTTTAATTAAAAATTCAAATCACTATTGACTATTGATTTTTTAGGGATATAGTAAAAGAATCAACTTAACTCCATCCAAATTAGTAAAAACTTAATGTGATTTTTAAAAATTATTTGGTCTTAAAAAAATGAAAAGATTCTACTGGTGCAGTAGGTCAATGTTCTTTGTTAATTTTATGATTTTTATGCATATAATATTAAATTTTAATATTGCACCTTTATAGTTTTAAAATTTTAAACTTATTAGATCTTGATTTTCAATAAGAGAAAGTGAGAGGAAAATCTTAGAGAGAGAAAGAATTGCGAAAAGAAGAAAAAATCACACCCACAAGTTAAACATATTCATTATGAATAATGTTAAGCTTCAAAGTTATTTAAAAAAATAAAAAAAGAGAAAACTAGGGATAAATCCAATTTGAGAAATTTATTAGGGAATGGTCTTTAGAACTTTGTGAAGAATTGAGGTCCTTTAATACAAATAAATATGCTCATGAAACGATTACAATGCTCTTAATGAAGATAGATTGCACAGAAGGAAATTAGTTGCTCTTGAGGAAAGATGCTTTACATGGATGAAAGTTTAGTTACACATAAAATATTTTGAACAGAATGGAAGATAGCTTCCACATAAAGGAATTTAACTACACTTAAAGAAAATATTCTGCGCGTATGAAAGTTCAGTTGTGTAAGAGAATATATGTTGCACACAAAAAAACTTCAGTTGCACTTAAAAGAATATGCTTTCCACAGATGAAACTTCAATTGTACAAGTTAGCAAGGGAACTTTAATTCCACTAAATGGAATATGCTGTGCATGTATAGAAGTTTAGTTATTCCCTTGTGTAATTGAACTTCCATACATGCGAACCATTTTTCATTAAGTGTAACTAAGTTTCTTTGCATGCAATCTATTTTCCATTGTGCAACTAAACTTGCACATTCCTTTAAACGCAAATAAGTTCCTTTGCGTCTAATCTGTCTTCATTAGGGCATTGTAGTCATTCATCCTTCAAAAATTTTTAGGGACTATTTTCCAATAAATTTCTCAAAGAGGAATTTATTCCCAACTTTTCATAAAGTTTTTTTTTTAACAATATGATTCTCGTCTCTCTTTCAATTGTTACAATTATATTGTGGTATTATTAAATTATAAGATCTAAGTTCTAATTTTAGTCAAATATTTCAGCAATTCATAAGGATAAAAGGAAACAAGAAGAGTAAATTGTGTTTTATAAAATTTTTTCCGTCGACAGCTTAAGAGGGTAGAGCACTAGAGGAGGAGAGAGAGTTGCTCAAAAGCTCAGCACTCAGGAATCATTGTGAACTTTGGTCTTATGCCCTTTTTATAGGCTGCAGGTTACTATACCATTGGGCATGTTTAATGGCAATTAACTTGTCAATTAATAGTCATGAACACAATTAAATGGGCAATTTTCATAATTATTAACTTGCTTAATGATGACTAAAATCATTAGTTACAAACATTGATAAGACATGATGATAGATTAATTAGATAGATATTTTCTATAAAATTGCCTAGTATTGCATTTGACTCGTGCACATGGGGTGGGGGGAAATTGTCGGATTTGCATCCGGTGACCTATTGTGCTACAAGCTCGCTTCTCTTCTTGGCCTATTTAGTAGCCTAAAATCACTCATTATTTGGACTTGAACACACCGGCACATTATTTATAACAATAAGTTCAAGAGAACAGTAAAAAGTAAAGTAAGAGATATTACTGATATTTTTGAGATGAGAAGGAAAGAGAGATTAAATACCATGAATTTATTGGTATAGAACTTCACCCAAGACTCCCAGAAGGAGTGATTTTGGTGGTAAGAAAATTTTAACTGAAAGTAAAATTTAAATGACATATATAATAAATGAGATACGAAGAAGATTTATGTTAGTAAGTCCCTGTGTGTATCTGAAACAAGCGATGGAATGATTCACAAGCAATTTATACTGATTTGGTTTTTAATTATGTGACCTACATCTAGTCCTCAAAACAGTTTCTGAGAATTTTATTATATATCTTCAAGATAAATGCCTAATATTAAAAATGGGACCGGGTCAGCCGAGTTGGGCAGAAACCGGTCACATGGCCAGTCTGATTAGCAGGAAAAATCGGTGGTAGCTCAACCTGAGAGAAACCTGTCTAACTCGAACGGCTTGGTGTGTTA